TTCAACCTTCCTAAATGTTCCCACACCACGCCGCTCCTCCGCTCCCTTCACTGGCTTCCAGTAACTGCCAGAATCCACTTCAAGACAATGGTACTTGCGTACCATGCTGCGAATGGATCTGGCCCTTCCTACATCCAGGACATGGTTAAACTGTACACCCCAGCACGTGCACTCCGCTCTGCATCAGCCAAACAGCTCGCTGCACCCTCACTGCGAGGGGGACCCAAGTTCCCATCAGCAAAAACACGTGGGTTTGCTATCCTGGCTCCAAAATGGTGGAATGAGCTCCCCATTGAAATCAGGACAGCAGAAAGCTTACACATCTTCGGCGCAGAAAACTCATCTCTTTGGACTCCACTTCGAGCGATAGAACTATTAACAAAGCACTTATATACTAATAAAGGACTGGCTTATCTAAAGCCAGTTGAGTAGCACTTGAAATGTTTTAGCTCTATGAAACCTGATGTACTTATATGATTCTGTTTTCTTCAAGTTTGTATTTTGTTGGTCGAACGCACTTATTGTAAGTCGCTTTGGATAAAAGCGTCAGCTAAATGCAATGTAATGTAATGATTCAGTTTAAAAGTATGCATAACAAAGAAAAGCTGCAAAGTTTACCTATCTACCTATGAGTGACTGGAACAATACATACAAATATACAATTTAAACCATTTCATTTTATTTTATTTAACCAGGAAGATCTCATTGTGATTAAACATTTCTTTCTCTCTCTTCTCAAGAGTCCTGGCCAAGTTAGGCAGCAGCAGTTAAAGAAGGCAATCACCTAGTCAATGAACTGTCTAATCGTTTCAGCTCTACCAAGGATTTTATAGCAAATAATAACCTGCATTGCTGAGTGTGCAAATACCTTTCACTTTTAAGAACTCTCTCCAAGTTGAATTCTTGGAGGTACTGGATGAGGGGCCCCAGACAGCAGATCACTTGGCTCTCCAAGGATGCTACACTCGAGAGAGAGCGAGAGCCTGAAGGATACAGAAATACAAACATGTCACAGATAAAACAGCCATGAGTCACAGGCACACTCCTTACACACATCCAGCGTTTGAGAGCTGAATGGCTGTCTTGCTCTCATTGAGAATTGAGAGTATGTGAGTAACTGAGGGTTATATAGAGTCAAGGATTTAAAACCAAAAAGCACCCAGAGGCACAAACACACCTTTCTCCTGGGCGTGGCAGTAGAACTCTGTGGCTGTGTTCATGGCCGAGGTGAACTCAAACTGAGCGCTGTCCCTCTTCTCAACTCTCACTCGGTCATCAGCCTGAGCGCTGCAGGAGGACAACAGGACAGCATAGATTTAAGTTGTGCTTGTACAGATGAGTAGATGAAGGAAACACAACCTCTGATATCTGATCATTTTCCTGTCTGTGAGGTAAATTAGACACAGAAGCACTGCATGTTCCAGCCTTCCTGTTGTTCAACCACATTCAGTGGACACACACACACACACACACACACACACACACACACACACACACACACACACACACACACACACACACACACACACACACACACACACACACACACACACACACACACACACACACACACACACATCTCCCGGTTCGGCGTTGCTGCTTTCAAGGACTCGGTTGCTTTGTCCGCTGTTGTTGCCAGGGCAACCAAGGCAAACACGTGGCTTTGAACACAGTGCTGCTGGAGCATTTTCTTTCTTCCACTTCCTAATGCTTAAACTCACACACAAACATACATACACACACACACACAAGAATCATTATCTCTCACTTCAGTCACTGGTAAGACTGGGAGCAAAGATTGCATGTTAGTGATCAATAGACCGCATATTGTGCCCTCAGTGCAAACACGACCATTAATCATTTAAGCAGTCAATTCAACCATATTATGGGGTTTACGAGAACAGCGACAATTGCTGCTATCGATCCAGGGACACAGCAGTGTTGTGTGGCATCCTGCAAAACCCTGAGAGGCCCCAGGAAACAACAAATCTCATTCAAGTTTATGCCACCAATTTGTCAAAATGTACCCTTAAATAACTAGGAAACACATGCTCCGCTCTTCTGGTAAGTAGCGTTTAGATTATTTTATGTTGCTTTCCACCCCTATAAAAGAAGGTGATTTTTTTGTTTTTGTTGCTTGAAGATATTGAATGACATGAGTATGACACAACAGCCATGGGATCCAGCTGTACTAAGGTAGCCAAGTTAATTTATATCTATATTGCGCTAATTCAAGATATCTCAAGACATTTCTCTATAAACCAGTCTTTCAAATATAGAGAAGCATTGATGCAACTGTATTTTGAGTTTAATGCCAAAAACCGCAAGCTAACATGGTTACAAAGAGGAAGCTATAATGCTGATGTTAAAAAGGAATCATGTTTACAATGTTTCACATGTTTACTCTAATAGCACTACACACAGAACAGAGTGTAGTGGATGGGAAGGCAAGTTTTGCAGATATTTGTATGATTTTCAAACAATAAGCTCAAATTAGCTCCATCCACCTCCATTGTACTGGCGGAGAAACATACCTCTGACACAAATATCTCAGAATCTTGCAAAAATAAAAACAAAAACAATTCCAAAACAAAAGGCAAATGAGAAAAGTATGTGACATTTTTTTTTTTCTGGGTTTAATCATGTGTCACTGCAGATGTGGGTTCTTAACAATAAGACATTTGTTTTGTTTTGTTTGCCTTCATGATGGTGATCAATCATAAGCAGTGATGTTAAAGGTTAAGGCAGAGATGTTAGAGGCAGAGGTTAATGTGCAAAACAGATCAAGGCGCTCGATTAGTATCTATTTCTGTAGGGTGAATACAAAGCCCTGAGTGGCCGTTTAAATCAATACCGACATCAAACACAAATTATGTTTTGTGTGTCGGAGTGTCTGTGATCGACTTAAAATCTTAAAGAGCAAGAGCCTTTGTGTTGACAGCATCATTCATTCAGCTCTCGATGTCACTGCTCTCATCCTGACTCATGACTCCAGGCTGAGAATAAGTAAAGTAATATTGAACCAAGATACTCCCATCCTCCCAGGGACTCATTACCTGCCTCTCCATGGACACACATACATCCCGTTGCTAGGGGGCGCTTGTCGTCAGCCAACCCCGGAGACACGGAGGCTGTGAAGCTAACGTCAGCAGCCACAAAAACCCCTCTTCTAAATCGCCTGGGTGGCTCTTGCTTTAAGATTTTTAATGGGTGGGATTAACAGCAATATAATGTGTCATTGCAAAACATCTATTTCCAAATAATTTATGCTTTTAAAGTGTCATTCATTTCAGTCGGATGAATAAAAAAAAATCATTGAGGAAAAAAATCAACTAGAAGAATATTGTGAAAGGTCTACAGTAATAGTGATCTGTAACAGGCTTGTGTGAATATAAATGTGATGAATTTTCTATCCGAGCAGAACAGACCGAGCTGCCCTGTATTTGTATGATACAGGCTGCAAATTGAGAAGAGTCTTGTCTCTGATGAGCACAACGCTAGAGAGCAGTGCTGTTCAAACACATAATTGGAATGGCCTTTACAGGCCCATCTCCGCTATAATCACTCAACACAGACGGCTGAGAAAATGAGGAGGGGGAGAGAGAAAGACGGAGAGGAATGAATACAAATGAACCACATTTTCTAGAATTGAATTTAAACAAAGAGGGAAAAAAAGAAGCCACCGGAATAAAAAGAAAAAGGTGAATAAGGAGATATGTGCAAGTTCAAGGAGTCAAAGACAAAAAGTGGCAGAGATCCTTCCCATTTATCTAACTATTCCCCTCTAATCTAATCCACTGCACTGCCTCCCACTCCCTCGTTTCATTTTCAGAATATAATGCAATCACAGGCAGCCTCCAGAGGAGCCCGTCCCTGCTGGTGTGAACATGCTGGGTGCAGACTATCAGCAAAGAGGATCTGAATGGCGGCACAATGAAAGGCAACAGGTTTCTGGAATTCATCAGCTCAAAAGTCACTGTTGCTGACCGTGTGAGTCAGCCGGTGAAAAGAAAACACACGGTTTAGCTCCGTTTGGTATCTTGGTCAACACTGGAGCCCACATTCATTATATTGAGGTATGTTTTTGCATTGGCGCGTCGGTTGTAACAACAAAAAAACTCACAACTCCCTGTTGTACCTGGTTTGCGTATATATGCTCCTTATCACTGAATGGATTTGACTGCCAAATGTCTGAAATCATTCGAACCGACAATGAGAATGTGAACTTTTTAACTATGTGCTTTAAAAGAGCAGCTATTATATAAAGCAGAGTTGAAGTGAAGTGGAGTAGAGTAGTTGGGGTAAAACATTGAACAAAACATTGGGATAAAGGTAAAACTATAAGTAGTAACCCCCCCTGATTCGGTTTTCCAGATGGCTATGTGAGGTTTGTGCTGTATCTACATGCAGGAGAAATAAAATGTCCATATGAAAAACTGCTAAAAACAAGCTAATCTGCATTTATCCTATCAGTTTATAGATATAGAACATTTTACCCTGGATGGACATGAAGCTGTTTACACTGTGACTAAAATGTTAACTTTATTCAAAAATATTCACCTATATGTATTTCAAAAATGGTAAATGTTGTGCAGATTGTAAAAGAAGGATTAATTTTTAGACCCATATATATTTATTGATTGCTCCATAGGACAATCCACCAGCTGCAGTTTGAAAAATAGCATTTATTTATTTTGCCTCAGATAGAAAGTTGTAAAGCCTGAAATAACAATGTATCATTAGTAAAGTTTGCTGGGGCCTTCAGGGCCACCAGAAAACTTGTATTAACATGTTTACACATTTGACCAATGAAATAAGCTAAATACTTTATCTTGCAATAATCTTTATTTGTAAAGCAAGTATCATAAAAACGTCCGTTTGCGAGGAAGATCACTTTATGAACTTTTAAAATAGATAAAGCCTGGTTGTTGGCCCCTTGTTGGCCCTGTGGTCCATAACTAAACAAGCCCAGAGAGATGGAGATAGAAACTGTCTACCTGTTGAGGGGAAAACTGAACACAATCCCTCAAACTCTAACTCACAAATACACACACACATTTAAAACCACACAGAACATACTGTCCTGTACTAAACAGGGAGGTTGTGGCTCAGTGGTTAGTGTGCTGACCTTCGGATCATAGGGTCACAGGTTCAAATCCCGCTGCAGTCAACATTCCGCTGTGTCTTGGACAAGACACTTCATCCCAAATTGTTCCTGTGGGGATTGCCCATAGTATTGTCGCTTTGGATAAAAGCGTCTAACAAGTGACATGTAATGTAAATGGGAGCAGACTGCTCTCTAGTGGCCTGACAGCAGATTACCTGGCGGCAGCGATGCTCTGCAGGAGTCTGTGAGTCTGCTCTGAGAGGTCAGAGGGCACCAGGATCTCCACAGGGTTGATCTTCAGTACACGACCCTCCAGCTCGGAGCGAGACGCATCATCAGGAAAACAATCCAGTAACACGTCACCTGTGCTGGGCTGGACTGCCTGCAAACAAACACAAACTGAATGCACACACTCATGCTTTCCTTCTAAATCAGATTATGGTAAAGGCGTACAGCTTGTACTCAAAGTTCACGTTTTACAACCAGCTGTGATAGACATTAACTTGTTTTTTAAATGTTCTTGCAAAACTTTATCCTCGATATCAGCGCAGGGCTAAAGAATCTTCTATTACCATTATGGTATTTTGTGATATAGTTAAAATCTAGAAACCTTATCTTGGAAACAAATTGAAATACTCTTAATTCTTAATAATAAAAAAAAGAAACATCTGCTTTTGGCTAATCAAGTAGATTCAAGGGAAGTGATAACGCTTCCTCAAATGTAAGTCAAAGACCACAGATGTTCAGGGGAGAGCTGATTAAGAGCAGATTTGAAATAATCTCTGACTGCTGACAATTATTTATTTATTAATTACTGTTGTGTCCGGGTCATATGGCCTAATTAGTCTATGCCGATATAGGACTTCTTGTTTATCTCCATATATCATTGAATCAAGATATGATTACATTGAAGGCCATACATTATCATATTGAATTTTCTCCTATCCCACTCAATGTATGCATATTTGTAAAGTAACCCACTACTTCTCCGCATGGACCAAGCCTCCTTAATGATTACAGAGATGTAGAAATTAGATGACATTTTAATAGAGTGGTATTTCAAACCCTTTACATAAAAATAAACAAAAGAATGTGTACAAAATATAGATGAAAACATTCTCTTCTTTTTACATAAACTATAAATATGAATTTGCTTTAAACTGAAGAACCTGATTCAGCTCCTTGCCTGAGAGCATCTGTAGTTTTTATGAATACGAACTGATCAGACTCACCACCAGCCCCACAGTGAGCTGCTTCTTTACTTTGTCCCAGCTCTCACTGATACACAGCAGGAAGCTGTCGAGGGGGTCCGACACCACGTCACCAGAGACCCCCCCATCCACAGCCCCCAGACTGCCCACCGGGTTCACATCTCAGAAAAACTGTCAAGGACACCACTTTAGAAAGACAGACACACACACAGATATTCACGGTCTGTAAGGATACCCTCTCCCACCAGAGTGGACTTGGTGTACAGAGCGCTCAGCTGACGAGCGAAGAGAGCGCTCTTATTGGCTCCTGAGGCCTTGATTGCAGACGTCTCAGTCTGCTTTACCACACCAACCTATAAAATAAGGACAATAATATTGAGAAACAACGTAACTCTAAACAGCTACTATATAGGAAATATATGCAAGATATATTTCACACCTTGTGTCCATGGGACACCAACCGTCGGACGTGAACAAACAGACGGTGTGTCGGGATGCTGCACGTCATGAAGTTATGATCCAGGTGACAGAAGATATTCAGCTCCTTTGCAGCAATCTGCTCACACAAACAAAGATTACATCTGTCATGGCTTTTAGATGAAGGAGGCCACGTTGCGTTTTCAGGCAAAATGATCTGGGTCTAGCAGCAGAGTATATACAATTTGAGCTTAGAGTTAAAAGTGATGGAAATGGAGGATTCAAATGGCATGATTACAAGTTACATTTTATTATCTGAGAATCACAAATCAGTAATAATCAGATACAAATATTTTAAAAAAATGTTACAGCCACTACTAGTGCTGTGTACCTGGACTCACATTCAGGTTCAGGTCCGGACTCAAGTCCAGAGGTTCAGGTTCAGGTCCGGACTTATAAGTCCGGACTTGTGTCAAGTTGTGTGAGTAACTAAAGTGAACTTATTGTGAGCTAATTATCAATTGAAAATAAACTCATAATCAACTAAAATTCAAACTCGTCAGGTTTATTGTGCCCCCTTCCAACTTGTGTCTACACCATGTCTTTTCTAGAACTCTACATGTGTTACTAACTACACAACACAACTACATACATAGTGATGTACATACAAGACTCAATATGCAAGAGTACAAGTCTGTGTTCTTGTTCAAGAACAACAACATATTGACATTGTCTGGGTGAAGTGTTGCTCTTTCGGCAGACACTATATCACCATACATACAAAGGAGTTAGCTTAGCTACACTACCAAATATGGCAACCAGCATCCCACGCTGTCAGTGTCCACTATGTCTAAGCCAGCTTCCCTTGACGTCACACAGATCTCGCGAGCAGTTGCGATATTTTGCGAGACTTCGTGAGTTCAGTAATGGCCGCCATATCAGAAAGCCAAAACAATGTTTTTCGTCTTTTCTCAGCGCAAATTTCTCGATCTATGGAAGGTTTTAGATGGTTTAGAACAAAAAGGAGAATATACGTAAGTTCCGGTTCCCGACGTTCCGGTTTTAACCGGACTTGAACCGAAACTTTTTACAAGTCCAGTACCGGTTCGGCGTACCGGTACGCAGCACTATGTGTGTGTGTGTGTGTGTGTGTGTGTGTGTGTGTGTGTGTGTGTGTCTCACTTGAAGCAGTTTTCCTCGTAGATGCTGTTCCAGACTCTCCAGGCTGAAGGTCCTTTGTATCC